ATATATATATATAATATTATATATATTTATAAATATAATAAATATTATATATATATATATATATAATATATATATATATAATATATATATATATAATATATATATAATATTATATATATTATATATATATATATATATATATATATATATATATATATATATATATAATATATAATATATATATATATATATAATATATATATATATAATATATATATATATATAATATATACACACACACACAGTGGTCCCTCAATAATCGTCCGTAATCCGTTCTGGAAGTGGACTATTATCGAAATGGACGATTTACGAATCAAATTTCCCCATAAGACAATAATGTAAATTCAATTAATCCGTTCCTGACACCCAGAAGTATTAAAGCAAAAAATTTTTTTACATGAAATATAGATGTAGTACATAAAAAATACAGTGGCACATGATGAATTAAACATTAACAGAATAACACTTACCTTTATTGGCGATTCTTCTTTGTGTATGGAAGACTGGAGAAGGAGACTGATTGGATGAATTACTGTTTGGAAGGGGAATCCCCTCCCATCAACACCTTGGGTACCAATTGCTTTTCTGGGGTTACTTCTCTTCTCTGTTTCTTAATGCCATTAGGACCACCTTGAGAGTCACTGGAGTCCTGTCTCGCAAAAAAAACTGTCCAGAGAGCTCTGTTTCTGGCATCTCTTTAAAACTTCCCTAAAATGGGCCAAGACTCTGTCACTGTACAAGTTGCCGATATGGCTTGCAACATCCTTCTCTGGGTGATGTTTCTCCATAAATCTTTCCATCCTACCCCACATTTCAAAAATCTCCTTAATTTCTGAAGAAGGCACCTTCCTCCATCTCTCTTCCTCCTCCTCTGCAGCAAGATTCAGAGCTGCCATCTGTTGCTGTTCCTGCTGAAGCTCTTGCAGCTCCCAGTGTTAGCTCTTTGTTGTGGTCCTCCACCAACTCTTCCACATCCTCCAAACTCACATCCAACCCCATGGAAGCCCCCAGTGCCACAATGGATTTAACAACTGACATAGGCTCATCAGGTCAGCCCCAAACCCTTCAAAATCCCTCTTGTGGACACAATCTGGCCACAATATTTCTCCAAGCAGAGTTCAAAGTCCTGGTAGTCACTCCCTCCCAAGCCTTACCTATAAGGCTTACACAATGGAGAATACTGAAATGTTCTTTCCAAAAATCTCGTAGGGTCAAGTGAGTGTCTGAGGTCACATTCAAGCACTTTCAAACATTGCTTTGGTGTAGAGTTTTTTAAAGTTTGCAATGACCTGCTGGTCCATGGTTGGAGGAGAGGAGTGGTATTCGGGGCAAGAACTTTACTGTGATGAACCCAAACTCCTTCAGAATTAGGTCATCCAAGTTTGGAGGATGAGCAGGTGCAATTGTCCATTACTAGGAGCACTTGAGATCCAATTTCTTTTCCAGGAGGTAATTCTTCACACTAGGGCCAAACACTTCGTTGAACCACTCTACAAAAATTTCCCTCGTGACCCATGCCTTACTATTAGATTTCCAAAACACGCACAATTTACTCTTCATAACACTGTTTTTCCTGAAACACTCTGGGATTTTCAGAATGGTACACTAGTAACGGTTTCACTTTGAAATCCCCCTAGCATTAGCACAGAACATTAGCATCAGCCTGTCTTTCATAGGCTTGTGTCCTGGCATTGCCTTTTCCTCTTGTGTAATGAAGGTCCTCTTTGGCATTTTCTTCCAAAAGAGGCCTGTTTCGTCACAATTGAACACTTGTTCAGTTTCAGTCCTTCACTGTTTATGTACTCCTGGAATTCATGCACATATTTTTCAGCCGCCTTGTGGTCCAACTGGCAGCCTCACCATGCCTTACCACACTGTGTATGCCATACGCTTCTTAAATCTCTCAAACCAGCCTTTGCTAGCCTTAAATTCACTCACATCATCACTAGTTGCAGGCAATTTCTTTACCAAATCGTCATGCAAACTGCCTAGCCTTTTCACAAATAAGCGACGTCATAAGACTGTCTCCTGCTAATTGTTTCTCATTTATCCACACCAATAATAACTTCTCAACATCTTCGAGTACTGGTGATCTCATTTTTGTCAGCATATTTACCCCCTTTGCAACAACAGCGTCCTTGATTTCCTTTTTCTTGGCTATGATGGAAGATATGGTTGTACGGATTTGTTATACATCCTGGCCAGTTCGCCCACACGACGCCACTATCATATTGTTCAATGATGTTTTTCTAAATTCAATCGTATTTCTCACCTTCTTTACCAAAGGCTTGGCACTAGGAGCTTTCTTTGGAGCCATGGTAGCTTATTTAGCACTTAAATAACTTGCAAGCACTAAAATAAATGAAATATTATGAAATATTTCACTGGAGCACGTGAGGGGACCGTCGCTCACTGGTAAACAATGGCACACTGGCTGGGAAGGAAAGGCTGAGGCGGCTCGAGGCGCTCAGACCGTGCATACGCGTCTGGGACGAAAGACTATTAGCGAGTTACCGGACCATTTCCGAGCCAATATTTTGACGAAAAAACAGGACTATTTCCAAAATGGACGACTTTCAGGCCGGACGATTATTGAGGGACCACTGTATATAGATATGTGTATATATATATAATGTATGTATGTATGTCATGCTGAATAGGCAGAACCTGCAATCTTGGCTTAAATAGCAATGCTCATCTTGCCATATAAGACAAGCGAAAAATTGTGTACGCAATAATTTCGCCAAAATCATTCTGAACCTAATGAAAAAATATATTTCACTGTGTTTGTTTAGTATTAAATTATTGTAAACAAATCTAAAATATATTTTAGTTGGGTTAGGCTAAAATAAACTGTTCTTGTTATAATAAGTTAGGTAAGTTTCTAAGATTCTTTTAGCGCAAAATTATAAATTTTTACATCAACATTAATGAAAAAAAATATATCTCTAAACATATAAGAGAAAATTTCAGAAAGGACTTAATATTAAATGAGTTCTTGCTAATTGACCAGTTTACATATTCGGCACAACATACATACATACATACATATATACATACATACATATATACATACATACATACATATATACATACATATATAATAATATATATATATATATATATATATATATTTTTTTTTTTTTTTCAACAAGTCGGCCGTCTCCCAGTCTCTACAGTGGACCCCCGGTCAACGATATTTTTTTCACTCCATAAGTATGTTCAGGTGCCAGTACTGACCGAATTTATTCCCATAAGGAATATTGTGAAGTAGATTAGTCCATTTCAGACCCCCAAACATACATGTACAAACGCACTTACATAAATACACTTACATAATTGGTCGCATTCGGAGGTAATCGTTATGCGGGGGTCCACTGTATATATATATATATAATAATATATATATATATATATATATATATATATATATATATATACTATGTATATATATATATTATATATTATATATATATATATATATATATAATATATATATATATATATATAATATATATATACAGTGTCCCTCGTTTTCGTAGTTCTCGGCAATCGTAAATTTCGCCAATCATAGGGAATTTTCGTACAAAATGGACTCGCTTTTCATAGTTGACTCGCGAATAGTAGTTTGTCCGGGAGCGTAAGCCGGGGTGAGCAGGAGGCCTCCCTACCCAGCCAGTCTGCATTGTTCACCAGTGAGTGAAGGTCCCTCCTAAGTGCTCCTACGAAATATTTCATAATATTCCACTCAATTTAGTGCTTGCAAGTACTAAATAAGCTACCATGGCTCGAAAGAAAGCTCCTAGGCCAAGCCTGTGGTAAAGAAGTGAGAAATATGTTCAGTGACAAAGTCTTGGGCCATTTTAGGGAAGTGTTAAAGAGACACCAAAACAGCTCTCTCCACAGTTATTTGCGAGATCAGGACTCAGTGACTCTCATGGTGGTCCTAGTGGCATTAAGAACAGAGAAGAGAAGTAACCCAGAAAAGCAATTGGTACCTGAGGTGTTGCTGGAAGGGGATTCCCCTTCCCCCCAAAACTGTAAACAATCCAATCTCTCTTTCCTCCAGTCTCCCATACACTAAGAAGACATCTCCAATAAAGGTAAGCGTTATGCTGTTATGTTTCATTCATCATTTCCCATTGTATGTTAGTACTACATGTATATTCATGTAATTTTTTTATTGATTTAACTTCTGGGTGTCAGGAAGGATTAATTGTATTTACATTATTCTTAGGGAAATTGTTCGCAAATCATAAATTTCGTTTAAGTAGCTCCTCCAGGAACGATTCAATTACGAAAAACGAGGGATCACTGTGTAGTATGTATGAGTATATATGTATTATGTATATGTATGTATGTATAATTATGTATATGTATGTAATGTATGTGTATGTATGTATGTATATTATGTAGATATGTATGTATGTTAATGTATGTATTTATAATGTATGTATTATGTATGTATAGTATGATGAATGTATGTATGTATGTATGTATGTATATATATATACATGTAATTGTATATATTATGTATATATATTATATATCATATATATATATATATATATTATATATTATATATATATATATATATATTATTATATAATATTATATATATATACATAGTATATATAATATATATATATATATATATATAATATATATATATATATATATAATATATATATATATAAAATATATATATATATAATATGTTGTATTCTGAGCACCTCTGCAAAAACAGTGATAATGTTGCGAGTTGTGGTGAAAGTGTTGAATGATAATGAAAGTATTTTCTTTTTGGGGATTTTCTTTCTTTTTTTTGGGCTACCCTGCCTCGGTGGGAAACGGCCGACTTGTTGAAAAAAAAAAAAAAAAAAAAAAAATAATATATATATATATATATAATATAATATATATATATATATATATATATATATATATAAATATATATATATATATATATATATATATATATATATAATAAATCTTTCTTTCAACAAACTGGCCATATTCCACCAAAGCAGGGTGACCTAAAACGAAAAACAAAAGTTTCTCTATTCCAGGCCCCTTGCTTCCACCATTTTAGTCACCCCATACGACATGCATGGCTTATGGTTGTGCCATTGATAGAGACATATTTCTTTCTATTACTAAGGTACGACTTGATATATGCAAGTGCATGGCCTCTTATACCATAATGATGAAGCTTGAGGAGTAGGATGCTGTGGTTTACTCTATCAAAAGCTTTCTTATCAACCTTAAGAAAGCTTTTGATACAGTAGACCACAGCATATTACTCCTCAAGCTTGATCATTACAGTATAACAGGCTACTCACTTGCATATATCAAGTCATACCTTACTAACAGAAAGCAATACATTTCTGTCAATGATACAACCTCCTCAACAAGACCCTGGATGCTGGTGTACCACAGGGAAGTGTTCTTGGTCCCCTCCTTTTCCTTTTATACATCAATGACCCTCCAAGCGTATCTCAACTGACACTTATTCTCTCTGCTGAAGACACGACTTTTGTCATCTCTCACACTAATCTAGCTTCACTCAATACTATTGCTAGTGAAGAGCTCACTTCGGTGGGATGTGGCCAGTGCATTGAAAGAAGAATATATATACATACATATATACATACATGTGTGTACTCTATATATGGATGCAGTGGTCAAGTCATAACTCATGGTACTGCCTCTTCACTAGTCACTATTATTTTCACTCTCTCCTGGTTCTGAAAGTATTTTCATATACTGTATCTTCTTAAAGTTAAGTATAGATACTGCCTGTACCACCTCACTCCCCAGGCCATTTCATTTCACAACAAGGCTCATGAAGCCAGGAGTGGTCCTAGAAGCTAGAAATTAAGAGGTGGGGCCAAGAGCTGTGAACTGACCCCTGCAACTACATAAAGTTAAGTATACATACACTCATGCAATACAAGCTACTAGCTGTAGGCCTTTCTCACTGTTGCCAGTGCCTCATCAGGAGCTATGCAATATTGCAAAAGGTAGACGGAGTGAAAAAAAACTCAGAGGTAGGAAGCTGGTGTATTTGGAGCTGTGTCCCAACCTTAAGAGATGTTGGGAAAATGGCTGTGCATACACCAGCTTCCTACCTCTCAGATTTTTCCAGTCCACCTCCCTATTACAACACTGCAAAGCTTCTGACGAGGCACTGTCAACATTGCGAAAGACTTAGACTAGAGACTAAGACAAAAAAAAGGAGCTAGGTTTTTCCATCCCATTGTGGCTTGTATTGCATTTACTTGCTCATTTGCAATTGTCTTGCAACACACACATACAAAAAAACTTACTGTACTGTACTTCAGTACAGGAGACCTGTACCTCAGCAAGAGAATTCAACTCACAGCCAGAAGGACCTGTGTTTAATTACCAGGTGGGGTGAGACACATGGGCAGGCCTCTTTATACTTCCTGCCAATGTTTATGTAACAGTAAAATAGATGACTTAGAGTTAGAATACTGTTGTGGGTTAAATGCTAGGGATGAAGGGGGCCCTCACTAATTGTAAGCCACACTATGTGACTTAATTAGGTTATCCTAGGATAAAAGTACTTCTTTAGATGCCAAAATTATGCAAACAAGATAGCACATGGTCTAATTTTGTGGTTTACACACATGAATAATCTTTTAACACAAACAAAAATTACAATAAATTATGACATGGAGTGTCTTTATCTATAGGACACCTTGCAAGCAGTTAGATAATGTATAAGACAGTGATACAGATGATGCAGAGAGTCCGAGACAACCAAGCGTTTAGTGAGAAAAATTGACAGGAAAATATTTTTTTTCTCCCTACTACTTTAAGGACTCTTGATAACTCATCAAACTCTCAAAGACCATGCTATGATTATACCTTATACATTATATCTAAACCCATTATATATATCTAGCTACTCATTTATACAATTATTGTTATTGTATTGATAAAGAAATGCTAAATCTGTTGGTTTATAGTGTCTGGAGGATGTGAAGTAATCAGGTTTGATTTCTGATAAAGTGTAGCTCTGAGTCCTTGAATCAAGCATCAAGACAATGCTCCCTCCCTTCCCTCCTGAATGAACAATATGTGTAATGAAGAAATAGATACAATGTGCAACATCTGGATATCTTTATTTAGTAGACGTTTTGCCATCCAGTGGCTTTATCAATACAGTTTCAAGGACACTGTATTGATAAAGCCACCAGATGTCAAAACATCTACAATAAAGATACCCAGATGTTGCATGTGTCTAATTCTTCACCTTTCAGCATGATACAATCTTGCCAGTACAGATACTCCTCGCTTTACAATGGTTCATCTTACAATATTTCGACTTCATGATGGTGCAGTGCTGTACAGTACTGTACATTTGATAGGATAATTTGTATTCGCTATCTACTTTTCAATACTGGTATTTAGTTAGTAATTATTTGTTTAATTGCTTATTCAGTGACAGTAGTTATTTATTTACTTATTTATTTATATCATATTCATATTTGACTTACAATATTTTCAACTCACAATGGGTTCATTGTAACATAACCCCATTGTAAGTCGAGGAGTACCTAGTGTACCATTCATGTACAGTACATGTAATGTTTTACCCCAGACAACATAAGAGTTCCAAAAAGTGTTTAAGTAAAAGGGGTGTGGTAATGTGAAGACTAAGAGGGAGACGACCACTCATCCCCTCTGAGTCATCAAGCTAACAAGCCTACCATCATGATTAAATGTTTCTATTTTTTCTCCCATTTGTTATTTCTTTTATTCTATGAACCATTAATTATACACATTATTAGTGAGGGCATTTGTGCTCCTTTCAGAATTTGTTAAGAATTAGCAGTGTATAAAAAAAATCTTGAACATGAATTCCCAATCACACAACAGTACAACTGTTTACTGAAAAATGTGCTCCAATATATGATGATTAGTTAAATGCAATAAGAGGTTTCTGTAAACTCAACTGTGTCATTGAGAGTTACCTCTAGTCCTTCAAATAAAATTGTAAAACAAAAAAACTTTCTATAACACTATGTATTTTACCTTAGTAATTTTAGAATTAGAAACTTAATATAGTTTCTACGATTTATTCTGAAGTGTTGCGTTACCTTTCTTCTGTAGAGCTACTCTAAAATGACAGACCATAGCACTGCCTCTAACATGGCCTTTTATCGGTCTTTTCCTAAGTCATCTCTCACTAACGAAAGAACTTGCACCAGTCCCTGCTGAACTGTTAACTAAGTTATCACAAACTTAAGACAGTCTAACCCCTGGCACTACATTTTAGGAAAATTTTAAATATTTTCTGGCATTTCTTCTCACTATTACAGCTTTTCTATCTTTTAATGTTTTTTTTTTCATTACCTGCCTTGGTCCTAAATTCCCTATATGTATTATAAATTTATTAAAATAATTACATAATATAAAAGATGTTTAGCATTAATGGAAGATTATTTAAGCAATGGACAAGCAACTAATACAGATTGTTTTTCTTTCAATTTTTTCATTACCTGCCTTGGTCTTACTCTCCATGTAATTATAATTTTTTTATAAATTAATTATAAAAATAAAAAAATATATAAAAAACAAATACTCCACATTAATGGAAGATATTTTTAAAGTAACAAGCCAGCGACTTTGAAGACCTCCAAGGGTTACCCAACATCCAATTGCAGATAATTGGGAGCCTACTTAAACAATAGGTATGTACTATTTCATGACCTGACCCATTCCACAATTTTTTGCCCCATTGGTTCTGAATATTCTAAAACGAAAGCATGCTGATATCCATCCTCACACAAGATAGCATTTACACCTTCAACTTTTAGTTTCAGTTCATCTCGATAAATTCTTGGACACCACCCGTCCATAGCTCCATAATAAAAGACTATTTTATCCTTATGTTTATCTATGGCTTCTGTGTCTGCTTCATGCACTTGCAAGAGTTCATGGTAAGCCATCCACAAGACATTCTGCATCACTTTGGGTTGAAATAGTTGTATGGTGGCTTGAATACTGCAGTCTGGTACTTGCCTGCCTTTGAAGAACCAAAGAAGCATTTTCTCTCTTACTTTCACTGGCAACACATACAGACAAGCTGTTAAGAATATGACCAACCAACGAAGGTAGCACAGCATTGGCCAAAAACGTTGTCCATTGGGTGTATTTCTCAATCTTTCTACTGTAGGGAACAAAAGAAAACTCTTGACAATTGTTACCTCAGATTTTGAATCAAAGTACTGGAGGAGTCTAAGTATGATTTGACATCCAATGGAATGTCCAATAAGAGTAACTTTAGCTTGCTGAGGAATGTGATCTTGAATGAATGCTATCTTGTGATTAATTTGTTCTTCAAGATTGTAGACATTATTGTTATCTGAAAAGAAATAAAAATTTTATAATAACTATAATACAACAGGATAATAATAATAATAATAATAATAATAAGTAATGAATCCATGAGGAGTCATTTGGCACTGCTGTGCAGAGAAGGAAAACAGCTAAAAAGAGCAACAAGAGGATAATTTAAAAAAGCAAAACAGTACTAAAATGCAGCAATCAAACTTGGTGCAAGTGATAAACCAGAGAAAAAACACTATAGATAATAGTTGCATTAAAATTATACAGCATATACTTGTATGTGAGGACAGTGTAAGCATAATAAGCTATTGAAAAATGGGGTTTAAAATTAAGTTGACATACTCTCTGATAAACAGGGAACTCTATTAAAATATGATATGATGGATAGTCAACAAATTAGCAATTCTTGCAGAGAACAACAGGATGTCCTTCCATAAATGTCCAGGAGTGAGTCTGATGTGACCTATGAGTACTACTGAATGTAGTCTCCAAAAATCAACAAGAATGAAACAAAAGTAACCATAAACCCAGGAGTGTAAAATAACTTGTTGGAAACCTACACGGATCAATAGTGCTGACAAAACTCTTGTGTAAGTGCTGGATCAGGACAAGAAAATAGTCAGAGGCAACTTCCTGCAGGAGAGGTTAAGCTCCTTAACTGATTAACATGCAGATTAGCCCACTGGTTCATTACTTGAAACTCCAGAATGGCTAACTACCCAGCTGTAAAAAAAAAAAAAGGACTTTTTTTGTGTTTAACAGAAAATGTGGCAAGTCATATGTTCAAGCCCCACCCATTATGTGATTTGAATTGCTTGCAACACACCTGCAGACACAACATGGTAGAAGTGGCAGCAACATCAAATCTACATTAAGAATATTAAGATATGCTCGTATGCTGGGTCAATTTTCCTCATTTAAATTAACAACTGCAATTAATTCATTCCAGCTGAATTCCTGCTCTCAGGAGGCATGACAAAAAACTCTAATATCAACTCTACGGCTTATTTATTTGTCACAATTCATCTAATGTGACATAATAAACAATATAAATAACGTAGAAACATGATATATACTACTCTAGAATGAATAAAATATGTCATTACGTGGACAGCGGAGGGAGGAGGATTGTGGTTGCGAGAGTGGTTGCTATATACAACTATTATGTTTATCTCATTACACTATGTACCTGGTCTTTGCTTATCAATGATTTCTTGCTTTAATTCCATGCAAATCATCCTCTTTTTCTTCTCATCACTGTCCTTTGCATTTGCTTTCTTAGGACCCATGGTTAGAAGAAAGAAATCTGGCGAATTAACTGAC